AATTGCATTAATGAGAAATTGAACAGGTGTTCTAATAATCCTTTAGGTGAGTGTATATCATCAGTCCATATGTTTTAAAATATATTTTTAATGACCACTGCATTCAAAATTTCACTTGTCACAAAGATATAATACAATGATTCGTAGTCAATTTATCATTAACACATATAATACATATATCACTAACCTATAACTTTGAAAGCACATTTTTTCATCTCAGTGAAGTCCAAGTATTCTTGTATTAAGTTCAAGTATCAAGTACAAGTATTGTTGTATTCAAGTATTTTCGGGGACCCTGAAACAGTCCATATTTCTGGTCCCTCCCTGCTCTCTGCCAAACAGTCCACATACTTGTGCAACTTTAAAAAATATACGTCATAAAAATATTTTTCTTATACAAATCTGACTATAATTTACATTTTATGAAAGTAGTGATGATAAATAAATGTCCTGTGAAATTCTACGTACAAAATCCAGATCAGGAATCATTCCTTCATTCCAAAATACACTATGATACATTCAGAGAATTTTTGACATTATTGAAACAGCTTTTGCTTGTGATCTTGCTCAGAAGTATGATGACTGGATGGATGGATGGTTGAAACAGCTTCTCTTCCCTTCTCCAGTACAGAACATCTTTCAGATTTCTTCCCATGACAATGCAGGTAGAAGATGTTGATGGTATTCTTACATTTGCAAATATGTAACAATTAAGGTGACACAGACAAACTCTTCATAAGCACCAGGCCATAGAGCAATAGTACAGGTGACTGACATTGACACTGAGATCTTCAGTACAGCAGTAAAGTGCCCAAATACAGACCCATTAAGTTACAGTGGCGTGAGCTGAACTCTGTTCTCCATTTCAAAGTAAGTCAGCATATTCCCATAATCAGCCACACTGTATACTGCATGTCTCCTATTGTGAGATCCAAGTCGGCCACACTCACCAATGACTGATCGTTCACATGCAAATACATTAGGCTGCTACCTGAAATTTGGTTCAGATGGGCAGAAGGGATATGGATAAGAGTGGGGTGGGGAGAGAGAGGAGAAGCAGCAGGAAAGGGATGATGGTGTTGATGCGAATTGCTGCAGCAGAGTTTGGGGATAGAATGCCAACAGTGTTTTTGAGGAAAGTGGCAAATTGATTCATCTTAGTAAAGGTCTGTATCTGGGAAGATGTGGCCCTGCTGGTGCTGGAGGTGTTGGTCGTTATCACTGCAGCCTGGAACCAGGTGCTCCCCTGTTTACAGAGTAATGGGTCACCTGCATCACCCTGAGGTGAGGAGAGAGAGAGAGAGAGAGAGAGAGAGAGAGTGACAGGCAGACAGGAGGAGTGAAAAGGGAGAAAACACAAAACAGCCTTCAGTCTGAGTACCATATGACTGGAGCTGAAAGCGCAGCACTGCTAAGGAGTGACTGGCAGATACAAGCAGTGATAGATGTGCATCCTTACCTGCTGCAATGACACAGCTGTGATACAGATGGAAGAAGATGCACTGTCCCCACAATCTGCTACTGTTGTACTCTGCTGCTGAATATCTGGGACTGTCATATGCGGGAAGGATAGTTTTATACTCATTAAGTATTTCATATAATTAATGCAGTGTAATACAGACACAGTGGTTCAGGCACTAACACACTCGCTCACCTCCTCTCTGGACGCCCCTCCATCCCGTCACCCAGCACTGTGTCCCAGTTTGCACGGCGGCATTTCCCAGGTCCAGGCACACGGGCTGAATGTGGTCAGTCAGGTTTACGCTTGTGGCCAGGTGGAGCACAGCGATGTTGGGACCCGGCAGGTTGCTCAGGGTGATGTTGGACACCTTCACTGACACATTCATAGCCAGAACCACTGTCCACTGGCTGCTATTAAGCTGAGAGCTGGGGGAACACGGTGATGCAATCAATGCGAATATAAGAGGGGTCGCACTGTAGGGGAGACCCTTTCTTTTAAATACTGAACTGGAGTTAGGTTTAGGGTAAGGAATTAGTTTTATCCCTGACTTCATTGTGTCTTTGAATCAGTAATTCAAATTGTATACCAGATTTGCTTCGTTAATTGTTTTCAGGATTTTGCATATTTCACCCATAAAGCTCCCACTGTTACATTTTGTTGAGGTAAGAGAGATTTTAATAATCTTTAACCTTCAGTTCTGCCTGTACTGACCTGTTGAAGCACTGGGCTGCGGTCATGACGAATGTCTCTGTGATGAGAGTGCCCCCACAGATGTGGACCCCATTCATCTGCAGGCTGACCTGCCAGGGCCACGCCCCTGCCGCCGGCGACCCGCTGCTCCCAAAGTTATTCAGGGGGGCGAGACCACATACACCTGCTGAGGTGACGGAGGTGGGGGAACAAAGGCAGAGTATTAATACAATTCCCTGGATCGTCTGCTGAGATCTACACTGCTCATAGTCTGTTACTCTGCCTTTGATGTACATTTATAACATTAACCAGTGATCAGCCAATCAGAGAGAGAGCAGTTGGTACAGTTATTTGAAGGTTTCCTGTGTTGTAAGTGGTCTGTCTGAGGTCCGAGGAAGGCAATCACACAACAGACACAATAACAATAACCTAAGGACAGAATGGGAAATTAGAGATGGGAAGCATCAGGCACTCACGTTTGGCAGTGGTGGTGGCAGTGGTTGGAATTGAGGTAATGGAGGGAAACGAACTGCAGGAGTCACTGTTCGTCCCACTGGAGGTAAATGTCACAAATCCTGGTTGGTTGGTGCTGATGGTGGAATTGATCCAGGCCTGATAACGAGACACCCTGGTATAGACTCCAGGGTAGTTGGGCTGGGCGCATGATTTGCCAAAACTAACGATCCCAGCCTGGATCCATGCAGAGCCCTGTTTGACCACCAGGGGACCTCCTGAGTCTCCCTGCACAGGTGGAAACAGAATTCCATCAAAACTGGAACAAATATCAATCATGTTAAACATGGCATGGCTGCTCTCAGGAGCAAATGATCTATAAAAAGACTGTGGAGGAGCTGCCGCACCTGACAGGAGTCCTTTCCTCCTGCTAGCAGACCAGCACACATCATGTTGGCTGTGATGGTGCCCTGCCCATACAGACAATTACACTTGTTGTTTCCAACTATTGGTACCTGCACTTCCTGTAGGATGCCAGGTGAGGGGAGGGAGACTGAAAGGAAAAATAAACAACATTGTTTATAACATCACAAACAAGAGGCTTTAATATGTTTAGTAGGTGTCAAAATCTGTGAATTTTCAGTGATTACAAACATAGATCCAGATACAAAATTATTATTAACATCCTGACCAGAAAGGCAGCACGTTAGTTACTGAAATAAGGAGCAAAGCTGGCAGTGTTATGTCAGGATGGATATGATCACGTACCACCCGGGCGAACATCTCCCCAGCCAGTGACCCACGTCTCAGTGCCAGTGTAGAAGGTACTGTTACTGGCAGACAAGCAAACGGGCTGGATGTAATCGTTGAAGTTTACATTGCTGCTGAGCTTCAGAAGAGCGAGGTCATTGTCATGT